TACTTTCTTTCATTTTCTAATGCTTCTATTCTTTTTTTCTTTTTGATGATTAACTCTTTTAAATGTTCTTCATTATCAATATCACGTTCAACGAAAGCAGTATCTACCTGTTTTTTTAATGTTTGAAAATCATCGTTTAGTTCAGAAGTTTCGAGCTCTTTAATTCTATTCATTAATGATTGAACTTCCTCTAATTTTGTTAATGATTTTTCTCGTTTTCGTGCATTGTCATGCTTTCCTTGCTTTGCTAAATCTTCTATTCGTTTTTTCTTTTCCTCGATTCGACTTTTTAATTCGTCCTCATTACTGATATCAAGTTCATCGAAACAATTCTGTAACTGTTTTTTCAAATCTTCGTATGATTTAGATATCGATGAAGTATCATTTATGTTAAGGGAGGCGTCATTTGTCGAATTTTGAATGTCTACCGTAGTTATATGTGATTGAATGATTTCTTTTGAAGTTTCTATTTCTATCTTAGATTCATTGTATCTACTCTGTCTTGTGGATATATCAAATGGTTCTTTTGTTTCTAGTATTTTCACTGGTAATTGTAACGCATGTTGATGATTGGAGCTTTCTATTATACTTTTCGATTTTTGTACCGAATCAGAAAATTTCGAATGATTACCTTCAGAAAACAATGATGTATCAATATTTGGGTCTTTGTGCTGCCAATCAATTGGTTGAGTTTGTACATTATTCGTACTTGAAGATTCATATGTTGTAAATTCTGATTCTTCGACTATTGCTAGTAAGTTTTTGATAGTTAAAACTGCACTAAGATTTCGATCACCAATATGTTCACAAGTTCTGAGCTGTAAATGAACACCAGGAAAAATTTCATTGAAATATTGTTGTAATTCATCAGGAATGTAACTAGATTCATTAACTGGATTAATAAATTCAGCTCGTTCAATATGATCATCAGCCTTAAATTTTATGAATATCCCAGTCGAATGAGAATTTCCTAAGTTATAAGGAATAAGTACGAGACGTTCTCCATGATAATCATTATTTGCCTGTTGTAACCGTTGTTCTAATTGATCATTGACATGATAATTCACAGTTGTAAGTACATAGATTGGTTTTGAACTATGTTCAGGATTATCTTGAATTAACTTTGGTATTCGATAAGAAAGAACTTGATAGACGTCCATGGTTTTGATATGACTGAATGCCACGAGCTATTCAAATCTGAATCAATCAAGATGCTTCTTTCTTCTATTTAACCTACGTTAGGCTTTTGTATTTTGTTAAAATTGATAAATTAACTTTGAAATGATATATATCTAAATAAAGTAGAATCATATTTTCTCTATTATTTGAAAGTTAAACAGCTTTTATTTCAGTATAAAATAAATAATTTACGTGGAATACACCGCTGGGCAAAAAACAATTTTCCTCCTTCCTCCTGTTTTTTCTACATTGCGTATTTAGTATCGAGTTTCTTATTGTTCGAAAGAATGATATGAGCCATTTATTTTGCTTAGTCCATAACTGATCATCATTTGATTAATTCAAAGATGCTGGACATGTATTATCATAGTATCGACCAATAGAACAACTACATTAATTGGCATAGTCATCTACGAACTTTTATTTGTACATTTCATTCTCAGTATGGTTTCAATATTTTTCGTGCTTTCATCTTCATTATTGACTTTATATCTTCAATCGGGCTAAACGTAATATACTTGTAATTAATCTAGAGTGGATAGCCGATAATGAAGATGAAAATGTGAAAAATATCGAAACTATACTGAGAATGAAATGCGCAAATAGAAATTTGTAGATGACTATGCCAATTAATGTAGTTGTTCTATTGGTCGATACTATGATAATACATGTCCAGCATCTTTGAATTAATCAAATGATGATCAATTATAGATTAAACAAAATAAATGGCTCATTTTATTCTTTCGAACAATAAGAAACTCGATGCTAAATACGTAATGTAGAAAAAAAAAGAGGCGGGAAGGAAACTTTTCTTCAGAGGTGTATTGGAAAAATTTCAATAAGTTTTAGAAAAAAAAGCTGATGACCAAACAACAATTGAAAGACTTAGCTTATTATTCTGATTGGTGAATACTCTGTAGTTTAAATTGTAAGGTTTACGATTCATTAATTTCGCTTGCTCGATTTATTGAAAAATGTAACTGTGATACAATTTCAAAAAAAAAGATTCGATTTTATAGCATAGATGCAATATTTCTAAAATAATTTGTTAATGAAAGTAGGTTAGCAGTATCATATGGCAGAAAAGGCATGAAAACTCACGAAGACAATACTTCTCTCAGTGTCAAGATATTCTCTGTTTTTCTTTCATTTCTAAATTCGCGATCACATTTTTGATCAATGTCAAACTTTATCATAACTCGCAAGAATTTTCTAAAATATATTGAACATGCAACTGCCCGTATTACTTGTTATTAGAGAGCAAGAATACGAATATAACGTATATTGGTTGTTGTGATTGTGCGATCTTGTGCACTAACATTTATTGTCATACAGAGTAACTGCTTAATTCGATCTTAAATATGAATAGAAATTTCAAGGATTTATCAGAAACACGTTAAATCGAATAAAAAAAAACGATCAATTCGGTTTTATAACTGATTTAGGGTTTCATGTAAGTACAACAGAGAGGCAGAAGAAAAAATTATTCGAATTAAAATATATGATCCATTCGATATTTCCTGTGCTGCTGTGGACATCACTTGAAATACTAGACTTATTACCTCCTATGTTAAAGTTAAAGGTACCAAGTTGGATGCTACAACTAACACAAACGATACTATAGATGTCGCATATGATGCGACATTTATCACTTGCCATGCTGCAGTGATGAAGAAAAATACTGTCTACAGTATTCCACATACTAAAGACGTCTGCTGACGTGCAAAACGAAGGATCGATGATGAGTCATCTATCATAGTCCAATAACAGCTAAAAAATAATGGCTTTTATTTTCATTTACATTAAGTCCTGAGAAGTTATGACTAGCACGGTTGCATGAGTCTTGTAAGATGGCGCCGACTAGATTTCTTTGAGATAAAAAGAATTCTTAATCTCACTTATAAGTGGTGAGAAGAATGAGGTTGAAAGGCGATACAGAAGGCACAGCACACGAAGATAAGGGGGAAAAGTGATACAGAAAGGATAAAAACAGACTAGATAACAAACAGTGCAGACGAAAATCTACAAAACATCAGTTACTTAGTGTTAAATAGCTCATCGATAAATTCGGTCAAGCTCTTTGAAGTGGTTGGTTTTGTTCAACTAACTCTGGAAAATCGTAACTGTACGACGTTGAAATACTTCTTTTTAAAAAATTCCACTCTACTGTTTGATATTATGGACATCGTCAAGACTCATTAACGTCTCTGATCAAAGCGCTATTCTTTTATGCTGATACCATTTTCTTATAGAAATAGCTCTGCTCAAAAATATCTACAGCCACTCAATGGTAGATGATCAATGTAAAAAACAGAAAAAATAAAGATGACTCACTTGAAGTTGTTTGCGATTGTTTGCGTTCGTTAAAATGCTTCTCACTTCACTACACTGATAATATGTGCAAACTGATAGAAAAATACGTGTATTTATAAGTGATTACAATATGTTTGAAAGGAAAAAACCATACTTCGTTATTCTCCAACTTTTTACCACGTCACTATCGTAAAGAAAGAAAATGTTTTTATTTCAATGTCGGAAAAAAGAACAACGTGTTGTATACGTATTTTTTTTCGAATCGACTATCGTAATGTGGTCAATTGACACCGATTCTTACTTTCTATTATCTTACAGGTGAGATTTATGACGTACAGATTTTTTTTCTTCTTTCTTTCCTTTTCTTCACTCGAGCATTTTCCACATATACTCTGCTCTTGACATTATTCATGTTTTCTTCCTGGTGTAATGGGCTTTTTCTTAGTAGTTTAGCATTGATCTGTTCGATCAATCGTTTGTCAATATCGACGGATGGAATGAAAGTTTCTTTCTGCTCGATGAATATTTATTTGTGAGAAAAAAGAACATAGATCCTCAGTGTGTGTACTAATTTTTCAGTACTAAAATGTTGGCAGCAACAGTGTTAATACTTGACCATTGCTCTATACAGTATTGCAAACTGACCATTTTTCACAAGCAGTGATCGGATATGGAAAAATCCGTACGTGCACTAGGGATGGATGAAGTTCAAACTGAGTCCAATGTATGATTACGGATATGAAACAGAGTTGAAGCTTGACTAGTCAAATCGAATCGATAGAGACCGATAGATCATCGATTCAGCTTTCGGAAACTCGTTCTATTTTTGACACTTTTTTGGTCCAACAGCATGAAAGAAACGGTTTTTGTGGAACACACTCAATATTTTCTTCGAAAATAATGAGTGTAAGTTTTTAGTCGAAGTTTTGGCTGCTCCCCTCCTTCTCCATTACAGACATACCCCCCCCCCCAAT